AGTGCCAGCTGCAGCAGTGACATACCATGGTATGGTTGTACCCTTGATGCTTTATGGAAGCAAAAGATCATGTTATTCATAAAGTAGTAATATGGGAAATCAGATTGAGTATCACCTCTGTGAAGACATGAGTATTTGGTGTGAATGGATAGTAAAACATGAAGGCAGCAGAGGGAAAACCTGTATTAATCCAGGATGCACTCTTAAAACAAAACAAACAAAACAAAACCAAAAAAAAAAAAAAAAAAAAACCAGCCAAATGAGAACAAGACCTTTTTCCCTGGAATGAGTACTTCTTATTCGAGTAGGTTTTAAATTCTCACTTGTCATTCTAGCTTTTTCACTGTGCTAGCTTTTTAATTGAGTTATGTGATTACTAAAGAACTAATTACAAAATTATGTGATCTCATTGGGAAAATATTCCTCTGTACAGAGGAAGGCAGTTTTTAATTAAACCTCTTTTGATTAAATAGTTTTGTGAATATAACAATATTTGTGTACTTTGCTATTTAAATATTTTTTTGAGTAAAACCCTAGAAAATTTGAAAATAAAACCTGAGGAACATGCATTAGCAAGGATAACTGAGACCTGGAACTGTGAATATTCTTTGAGTTCAGATTAATAACTTAATTGCTAGTTTGAGCAAGCCACTAAAGATTGACATTTAAAGGTAATTAGGTGCACTGAGAAAGGCACTCAGAGCAGTGCTAACGAATATTCTGGAAGTTACTGATCCAATTACAGTGACAAAGGGAAGCTCTAGAGAGTAAAAAAAAATACTCCTATGGTATAAATATGTTCTTGATTGTTGATCAAGGAATATATATTTACTCATGTGCTATATTTTCATTAAAATGAGATCCTAACCAGCTGTTTGCAGAAATGAGACAGTGGGTTCATCTCTAGGGCAGAACAGGTGATGGGAATGAGTACGGCATGGGGGAGAGGAATGGAAATGTTAACAAAGGAACTAAGGAGCACAAATATTGTGAGCTTCTTACAGGAGCAGCTCACTGGAGTATTTCACTAGAAGGGCATAAATTTTGACAAGATGAGAAATAGGCATAATGCCTGTAATTGGACATACAGGATAGGACCTGGTTGTAAAAGCCCTGGAGGCCATCAACATGGTTGTGTTTTCATTGCCAGAGGAGATCTGCAGCACATCTGTCCTGGTGGTTATGGCCCAAGCTCTGGTGTGTGTCCTGTAGAGCACTGGAGGACACAGCAGCAAACAGGGGAAGGGCAGCTTTCTGTGGCAGTGTCCCTTTGTTAAGGGAATGGGAGTACCGTGTGAGAGAGAATATGCCACAGTGAATACCACACCTAACAGCTGTGGAAACAGTTTCAGCCAGCCAGTTCCTGCTTCTGTCCTGTCTAGCAGGTTTTTAGTTTTTGTTATTCCTGTCTTTCTCCAACATGAATACCAGGACTTCTCTCTTCCTCAGTGACAAACAGACTATAGAAAGCATGGTTTTTTGTATGTGGTTAAATACAGCTTAATTAGAAGACTACTCAATTGATTCTTGAGTCTGGTACTGTCAAAACGCCCACTCATAAGGTTCTGAAACCTCAGCAATCACTACTAACCCACAAAATGACCAGCATTACAAAACAGAACCCAGCGGTTAACCTATCACAGCTCTTTATTCTCACTTACATAATGCAGAAACTCTTCGTCCTGAGTTGCCACATAACTAGTGATGCAAATTAAGCTCATAATCATATTCTTATCATTACATGCCTCTCAGCAGCAGCCTTCTCAGCGTGGAAAGCTGACTCTGCTGGAAACAGATTAGTTGAGCTGTTTGCTGCTGTATCTATCCTATATATACTTATTTGTTCATTTTAGGTAATGGCATGTAAAAATAGTAGTTTTATTGTCTGTAATGCTGTTAGGGCTGGTAGAAAAGCAACAGAACAGTATCAGCCTTTATTCACTCCTTTGAAGAAGAATGTGGTTCTAAAGCAGTACAATAAAATGCAAGTGGCTTATTATGTATGCAATGCTACACATTCATTTATATAAGGAGAGAGCACAAGTCCTATGCTGGGGAACTGTATAAAAGCTTTTATCCACTTGAAAGAGCTGGATACCTTTTTCTGCAACAGATAACAAGGGACATGGTGGGACAAGGGAATCGGGAGCATCAGTAGGAACACAGTTGCTTACAGAAACCTGCTTAGAAGATAAGCCAGGGAATTTAGGAGTGCAGGAAAAGCCTTCCCTTTCTCACATGGATTTCCTGCATGGCTGACTCTGTCTTCAATCAGTGCAGTGCTGAAGTGGCCACATCTGTGGTAGATAGGATCTAGTCTTTTTTCCCAGGTACAATATCTTTATCCCAATCCTGCCCACCCTGATACTTGGGAAATTGAAATTTATGCATAAACATTTTGCATGGGCTCAGTACATTGCCCAAGGGGTGCTGCCTCCGGAAGTTTGCAATAAAAGGCCCCTTTCTCAACTGTCTCCACAAAGAGCAAAAAAAAAAAAACCTCTTTGAAATGGGATCCATGAACCCCGTGCCTCTGGTTATTCAGCATTGTTGGGTGACAGCATACTGCAGCTAGGGAACAGAAGGGTTCCAGGTTTCCAGAACTTGTGCAGTAATGGGTCAGTCACTCTTAGCCATTTAAGGAACTTGTTTCTGTTTCTATGGCTGTTTGTTCATTCTTTTGTTCATTTGTTCCTTCTTTAATAAAAATAACCTTCATGTCCAGAACAAACCAAAAATCTCTTCAGTAATGAAATGTAATTTATAACATTTTATGTAGATTATGACAATTAACTGCATGATCTAGTTTAATAAATGCTATGGCTGGAACCCACAGACTTTCCTTTTGTTAGGAGCTCTTCCCTTTTCTGAGCTTGGAACTGAATGAAGCCAAGGAAGCAGAAAAACACACAAAAGGGAAGTAATGATAGCAACTTTGGAATGTTTCTATATTTACGTCCAGAAACTGTCTCATATTTTTGATCACTGTTGTAAAATTCCTCCTCCATACAAGGCTTATGCATCAGCAGAAAATGCCTTAAGCAATTGTTTCACAATATTAAGTAAACACAGGGTTTTTTTGGGGAGGGGAGAAGGTGTGTGTGGGAGGATGGTGGTGCTAGTTTTCTTTCCTCTGTGAAAAAAGGGAATCAAGAAAACCCCCATAAACCACACTCACACATTCACAGGAGTCTTAATCCATACAAAGATGGTATGTATAAAACAGTAGGGATGAAAAACATAAAATAAATTCTGTAAATATTAGTAAATCAGGATATTAATTTTATATTATATTATTCCTTCTCATAAATGCAATGGATATCTTCTTTTAAGATATGTATAAAGCTTTGAGATATACAGCCAATTTGTGCAAATGACAAGCCGCAGGTTTTTTCCACTGTCTTGAATTTTTTGGGTTTTTGGGTTATTTGGTTTTTTTGGTGTTTTTTTTTTTTTTTTTTTGCCTATCACCACCTTTAGCAGCAGCAGTAGATACCAACATGAGTTACAGCAGTTATCTCTGGGGATAGACCCATAATGCCTTGAATGAATATTAGTACAAGTTGTATGGGCACCACCGTGGGAATCCCTATGTGATACCTCCAAAGAGATGTCTAATAGGCTTTCCATTAGAGTGAGAAGCTGTGGATACAAACACTGCATCCATAAGCAGACAGCTGATAAGCAAATGGGGAACCTGCCAGAACCTTTCATCAGTTTGTGAACTGTGACTTCTCCTGGTTTTATCCTGATGGATAGTAGGTGCCCTGGCAGTCTATTTTGCAGGGTCAAGGTTAAATTTCTGGCAGCATCCCTGCGTTGCTGTTACCAGAGAAGTTTCCTAAATGTACTTTTAATTTAGTTCTGGAATGAATACTGTACTTCATTTAAAAAATTAAAAGAAAGCCTTATTTTGCCAGTCACCTTTATTTCACTAGAAAAGTATAAATTACCATAATAAATACAGTTATCACCAGTATAAAAATTAGAATCTCATTTCTAAAATAAATATTAAAATAGTCAAAGCAACAGGTACCTCCAAATCCCATCACCAAGATTATTTATATCTTATGCCACAAAATATTAATTTACCAACTGTTTAATTAAAAAGTATGTTCAAACTGCAGTAAATACTGCTACCTACTCAGCATTTGCATGAAGTGAGTTACTACTGACTCAAAACCTGCAAAGTATTCATTCTAACACTTACTTGGAAACACCAGACTGCCCTGTCAGTGTAACTCTAGATGTAATCTGAATGTGCTTTCCAGATGGACAGCAGCTACTTACTTCAACAGTGTTCTTTACAAGTCTCCAGTACAGTAGTTTCAGTTTGTTCATATTGTCTAATCCAAAGATAAATAGACTAAATTAATTTTATCCAAGAAGTGCAGAAATAATAGTAGCATCTCTGTCACATCCAAACTACCAGATCATTTCACCAGTTAATAATGTTAAAAGAAAGTCAGATTCCACACAGTCAGAAACCACACAAGTTTTGTTTCACAGAAACAGAAAATTGTTCCTTGTCATTAGGTAAAAGACACATTTTTCAAGAGTAGTGTTTTTTTCCCCCTCATAAGTACCACAGTCTTCTGGCTCAGTAAGGCCATACTTTCAGCATGTCTGTACCTCGTTAATTTAAAGGTCCACCTAGTTCAGAATCCTGTTTCAGTTCAGAATGGAGCTTGGGAAGAGTATATGAGCAGGGTTAGGTTACTGTCACAGATCACCAGAATGCTCTTCAAGCTTTCAGCCACTAGTGACACAGGGCTTCCCAACAGCTGGGTTTTCTGTCTGTGAAACAGTTTAAGGGATTTTTGAATCCACACAAACTTTGGGCTTCAAAATTCCTATACTGTAAAGGCCAAAAGCTTCTACCCAGTTAGTTATCCGATGTATGTGGTTGGTTGGTTGGTTGGATTTTTGTTGTTGTTGCAGTTTGTTTGTCTGTTTTGTTTTTCTTTGGAACTGCCACTAGTGTCCACAATAATTTTTCCTTAGACACCATTAAGTGGTTCCTTTTCTCTTGCAGCTTTTGCTTTCTTGCGTTTACACAGGATCACTGACAGGACAATGGCAAGAGTGATGACTGTGATTGCTATCACTGCTATGATGATAAAGACTTCTGCTCCGTATTCTGTAGGGGAGGAAAAACAAATCCAAAATTCAGTTATCAGGATCCACAATGTCACAGTGCTACAAACTCTTAGAGCCCACTCCAGTGAACTAACGCTTTCTGTATTTTACAGTATTGCAAAAATGGAGTGACCACCTCAGCGTGAACTGAATTCATTTTAATGTCAAGTTTTTGGATGGAGGGAAAGCTTTATTTCACCGAGTTCACACTAGATTTTAATCTAGTTTAATTAGTGTACTAAAATATCATACTACCACCACAAGAGTAAGTCAAACCATTTCCCCTACCCCTTCATTATTTCTGTGAAACTAAATCCAAGCGGAAATCTTTCTAGATTAGAAGCTAAAAACACCAACAGAAGAGATTTCTATTTAAGTTGCAATTCACTAGAATTCAATTGTAATAAACAAAAATATCAAGATAAGAAAATTAATTTGAGATAGTTCATCTGCCAATTTTAGAAGGGCTTTTCTACTTAGACTGCAAGTTTTCCTGTCTGGTGGAGAAAAAAGATACAGTACATCAATGTGATATTATTTAATAAATATTGATGATATCCAGATTGTTTGTCTGCAACTAGACTGGCTGATTCACCAACTACTCACTAACTTATTTACCAGTAGAGAAATTAATCTGCCAACTAATGACCTTGTAATCTAACAGGAAAAAAAAGTCTTAGACTCATCATCTACTTCTCAGATAACTAGTAGCTGAACGTGTAATTCAGTTCAGACTACAAGTCAATGGAAATGCCTGTTATGGAGGTTTCCAGCACTCCTAAGTTTTATCGCTAATCTTTCAAGCACTTACTATGGGACCTGTTATTAGAATGATCTGAGCAAAACAATCAGAAAACAAAACAACAAAGCTGAAGGCTAGTGATGAGATCTGAAATGCAAGTGACCAGTCATCAACTCAGATAATTTAAAACTAATCAAAACAGTTTAGCAAAACCCTAGAACCAAATCCAACTAGTTAAAGATGGTGGACACATTATGTGAGTTCTTCTCATCAGTTTCCATGTTCAGTCTATGTTCTCTCACCTATACAGCAAATAGGTTATTTCACATGAACGTAGGCATCATTATTTGAAGAGGTATAAAAATGTACTCAGAATTGAAATGTGGTTTTGATAAAGTGCTAAAGACTGTATGACAAACTTCACTAGACACCTACCATCCAAGATGGTTCTTCCCACACTTGTGCAAAGCACCACGCTTTCTTGACCGTTGCGGTTTTCTCTGCGGGAAGGAATGATTCCCTGTATGTAGAAGCAATAGTTTTTTGTGCTGTCAACGCTTACTTCAAATGTATGGCTTTTTGTTGTTGCATCTTTCTGTGAAGGAAAAAACCAAGAAACTTCAAGAAACTGTTCTCTGCAAAAGTCTTAGCTCTCACGGTAGCACAGAAATTGTGTAGCTATAATACAGCTACAGAATATGTAAAAAGTAGGGCTAGACCTTACCTTTCCAGAACTTTGATCCTTCCAGTAATAGATTTTGTATTCCAGGTCATGCTGGAAAATATCTCGAATATTCTGAAAGCTTCCATTAGGGAATGTATATGGTGTAAGTGGATCTTGGAACACAACATTTAGTTTGGAACCTTTTTGGGTGTAATTCTGTATCTCCGGTCTTCCTAGAACAGCTAAACAAGCATTTTTAGAATTAAAAACATAGCATTATCTTTCTGTACAACACGCTCTTTTTCCCTTCTCCCTCTACCCACTTGCCTCATCAAATCTATTTTAAGTTTACAGAGTCAAAGTAATACAATGAAATCCTAGATTATTAAAACATATCTTCATCTAGTACACAATGTTAATAAAATAGTCTATTCACTGCAGTGAGAAACAATGGTAACTAAAATCTTACTCCCCTGCAGCAGGGAAAGCTTTACGCCTGAGTGTCATCTTCTAAGGTGTCAGTATGGCCACTGTAAGAATCTACAGAAAGAATCTTTAGACCCAGTTTAAACCTTGTTTAAGTCCAGGGACGTAATCTTGAAAGGAAGTTTATGCTAAGATTTAATTGGCAATCCTACTTACTCTGACTATAAGGTGTAAATTTTTCAGAGACTGCAAAAGGTGGTTCTTCAAAGTTGTCCATCTCCGAGGGCGTTACAGACAGTATGTGTGCTGTATAGGTCTCATTTACATTCCTGAGTACATCAGTAACATCACACTCTGTTTCTGTTGTCAGTATGCATTTTTTTTTGGTGTCAGAAGTCTGTCTGAATAGAGCAAGAAAGAAGTGTCAACACTTTACAAACAGACTTTTGCATATTTAGGTACATTAAAAACATTTGCCTGCTCAAACTGTACATATTTCCCTCATCCTCAAAAACAACTAGCTTGTACAGCTATATTTCACATATCAGAGCAGAATTAGGTAAATCAAATATAAGCCATATTATAGAAATGTTATTGGATACATACATAAATTAAAAACCATATTTGAATTAAAAATTGAATAGAAACCATAAGTAGTTATAATTTTGTATTTTTGTGCAGTTGAATTGTTCAACAAAACAGAAGATGCATAAATCACTCTGAAAATATTATCCCTGATGTATTTGAAAACTATTGCCTAAGAAACATAAGTTGTTCTAGGAAGCTCTGCTGACACCAATATTAATGTGACAACAACATCTCTTTTATGCCATTTGTGTTTGTACCTATGCAGGTGCAAACATCAGTTAAGAATCAGACAGGAGCAGCATTTTTTGTTGCAGAATTACATTAACAAAAACCATGCGCTTGTTTTAATTTTTAAATTATATAAAGCAGATCCATTTACTTGAGAAATAACGAAATGAGGAAAAAATTGTTAATTCCCCATTTTATTTCCGAGTAAGAAGGAATGGAAAAATGGATCAGATGTTTCTGCTTCAATTATTTTCCCTGTTTTTGCTAGAGAACTAAGTAAAAGAAAAACTGTGTGATCTCAGCTGAAAAAGCAAAAGGGCCAACTGTGTGGAAACCAACAAATGAGTTTTCCTCCAGGTAAGTCGAGTTTTATTTACAAGTCACCTGAATTTCCTTCTCACTTCACTAGGTTTCTTAAGATAATACAGAACAATTAGTAATTAGATCCTAAAGGTGCCTTGAAAAGGGA